ATATCACTCTCCCATTTTAAATAATAAAACAAGGCTCACAAGTGTCTAGAAAGTTCATGGCAGAGCTAATAATTTTGGATAGAAATCTCTCTGATAACAAAATCTGATTCCCTGTTTTTTATACTATAGATAATTTTCAGGGGCTTCCCTGGTGTCTCAGTGGTAAAGAACCCACCTGCAATGCAGAAGCTGCAGGTTGGATCCCTGAGTTGGGAAGATCCCCCGGAGGAGGAAATGGCAACCCACTCCACTATTCTTGCCAGGATAATCCCATGGACAGAGGAGCCTGGCAGGTTACAGTCCACAGGGTCACAGAGGGCTGGACATGACTGAACCAACAGAGTGCACACGCACACAGTACAGCCTGTTAACTACTTTCTTCTTTATTTCTGCACATTGAACAATAAAAAGTGACTAAATAATCACAGATTTGACCCTTTCACCAAAGGAGGACCACAACACATTGGAAAGAATATCCAAGCTGCAGTTCAGGAGCTGACCACCAGGTGCTGCCTTGGCCATTCCTTTCAGATCAATTGTTAGGCACCTGAGGAGCAGTGCACTATAACGAAGATGACAAATTTTTCTAGGTTTAGGTGAACCACCAGAGTACCAAAACTTCATTCACAGCTCCTGATCACTCGCTTTCTCTAGTCCTTGAAACTGGCTTGTGATAAAGTAGTCTAGAGGATGGCTGTTCAAATTAACTAAGATAAATATTTCTCAAAAATTCAAAAACAGAAGTGTCATATGATTCAGGAATTCCACTTCTAATTATGTCAAAAAATTGAAATTTTGGTATATGCCCAAAATACTGAGATATTTATATATCTATGTTTCCATCAAAAGGTGGAAGCAACCCAAATATCACCAAATGACTGGATAGATGAAATGTGGCCTATACTTACACTAGAATATTATTCAACCTTAAAAGGGAAAGAAATTCTAAAACATGCTACAACATAGACTAAACTGGAGTACATCATGATAAATGAAATAAGACACAAAATGACCAGTGTTGCATGATTCCACTTATACAGGCTGTCTAAAGTAGTCAAACTCAGAGTAGAATAATAGTGGTCACGAGCTAGAGGAACAGGAAATGGGGAGTTACTCTTTAATGAGTACAAATTTTCAGTTTTTCAACATGAAAAGAGTTCTAGAGATGAATAATGTTGCTCTTTAATAATAATGTAAATGTATTTAATATCACTGTATTCAGTTCAGTTCAGTCGCTCAGTCGTGTCCGACTCTTTGCGACCCCATGAATCGCAGCATGCCAGGCCTCCCTGTCCATCACCAACTCCCAGAGTTTACTCAGACTCATGCCCATCGAGTCGGTGATGCCATTCAACCATCTCATCCTCTGTCGTCCCCTTCTCCTCCAGCCCCCAATCCCTCCCAGCATTAGGGTCTTTTCCAATGAGTCAACTCTTCGCATGAGGTGGCCAAAATATTGGAGTTTCAGCTTTAGCATCAGTCCCTCCAATGAATACCCAGGACTGATTTCCTTTAGGATGGACTGGTTGGACCTCCTTGCAGTCCAAGGGACTCTCAAGAGTCTTCTCCAACACCACAGTTCAAAAGCATCAATTCTTTGGCACTCAGCTTTCTTCACAGTCCAACTCTCACATCCATACATGACTACTGGAATACTTGATCACTGTATTATACACTTAAAATTATTCATATGGAAAAAAATGTCTATTATGATGGTAAGATTTCTTGAGTTAAACCGATTTAAAGCTTTTAAAATTAACTTTTACTGGAGTATAGTTGATTTACCATGTCAGTTTCCGCTGTACAGCAAAGTGAATCAGTTGTGCACACACAGCACAAACAGTCTGTTTAGAATTATATTCCCATGTAGGTCCTTACAAAGTATTGAGCAGAGTTCCCTGTGCCATACAGTAGGTTTCTTATTAGTTATCTGTCTATATTATACATGCAGTAGTATGTATATGACAATCCCAGCCTCCTAATTTATCCCTCCCCTACTTCTCTCCTCGGTAACCATAAATTTGTTTCCTATATCTGTGACTCTACTTCTGTTTTGGAAAAAGGTTCATTTGTACCATTTTTAAAGATTCCACATATAAGTAATATATGATACTTGTCTTTGCTTGACTTCAGTCAGTGTGACAATCTCCAGGTCCATCCATATTGCTGCAAATGGCATTACCTCACTGTTTTTATGGCTGAGTAATGTTGCATAGTATACATGTACCACATCTTCTTTATCCATTCTTTCCATAGACATATAGGGTGCTTCCATGTCCTTGGTATTGTAAGTAGTGCTGCAGTGAACATTAGAGTGCATGCATTTTTTCAAAGTATGGTTTTCTCCAGATTTATGCCCAGGAGTGGAATTGCTGGGTCATATGGTAGCACTCCTTTTAGTTTTTTAAGGAATTTCCATACTGTTCTCCATAGTGGCTATACCAATTTACATTTCTACCAACAGTGTAGGAGGGTTCCCTTTTCTTCTTTTCTCCACACCTTCTCCAGCATTTATTGCTTGTAGATTCTTTGATGATGGCCATTCTGATCAGTGTGAATGAAAGTGAAAGTCACTCAGTTGTGTCCAACTCTTTGTGACCCCATGGACTATACAGTCCACGGAATTCTCCAGGCCAGAATACTGGGGTGGGTAGTCTTGCACTTCTCCAGGGGATCTTCCCAATCCAGGGATCAAACCCAGGTTTCCCACATTGCAGGCAGATTTTTCACCAGCTGAGCCATCAGGGAAGCCTGAAGATCAGTGTGAAGTGACGCCTCATTGTAGTTTTGATCTGCATCTCTCTAGTGATTAGTGGCTGTGAGAATCTTTTCATGTGCCTCTTGGTCACTGTACATGTTCTTTGGAGAAATGTCTATTGGATCGTCCCCTCATTTTTTATTTGAATTGTTTGGTTTTTTTTTTTTATGGATCTGCATGAGTTGTTTGTGTATTTTGGAGACTAATCCCTTGTCAATTCGGTTGCAAATATTTTCTCTCATTTTGTGAAGTTTCTTTCTGTTTTGTTTATGATTTCCTTTGCTATGCAAAAGCTTTTAAGTTTAGTTAGGTTCAATTTGTTTATTTTTGTTTTTATTTTCATTACTCTAGGAGGTAGACCAAGAAAAGATTCTAATGTGATTTATGTCAAAGAGTGTTCTGCTTATGTTATCCTCTAAGGCTTTTATAGTATCCAGTCTTACATTTAGGCCTTTAATCCATTTTGAGTTTATTTTTGTGTATGACATTAGAGAGTGTTCTGATTTCATTCTTTTACATTTAGCTGTCTAGTTTTTCCAGCCTCACTTATTGTAAACAATGTAAGACATTCCTTTTAAGATTTCTACTCTACATAATTGCTTTCCAAATACAAATATAAGAGGCAGCTACTATACAAGATCACTTAGCAACCACCCATTACCATTCAACTTTTAAAACACTGACAAAAATGGGATTCAAGGTAGAAGGAAGAAATTGCAGAGAAGGAATATTTGGGATTGTGTAACAGTGATTAAACAAGAGGGCCTAGAGGAGTGCAAAATCAGCCACATGATGGAAAAAATGCTTTTGGAGGAGTGTGCAGTGAAAGGCAAGATCAGAGACAGAACATAATTCATACAGTACTTGGCAAAATGTCCTTCTAAGGGCCATTAATTATTGATCTTTTTGTGGATAAGACTGAAGAGAGGCAGGAAAAACCTACATTATGGAAATTGAGCCATTCAGTGATAGAGGTGTTAATAAGAAGCAATGAGTATTAGCACAGAGTAGGCACCTTAGAATGTAAATAAAGGTACCATTAACTCAGCTAACAAAACTAAAATGAATGAATTTATTAAATGGTGTAAAACAACATGATATTCAAAAGAAGAAAAATCACACAGAGATTTCATGACAAAACAATACCTGTAATATAACATATAGTCAATTAATATTTAATGAATTTCTGGGAAAATTAAATAAATAGTCTTGTTTAGGCTTCAGAGACAACGCAGAACAGGCCTCTGACCTTGCTTCTAACCTGCCTGGACACTGCCCTGACTGTGAGTGTGAGCCTGCTGTGAGTGCAAGACTTCCAGCACCATGGATAAGATGGGGAAGGAATCTTGCGATTGTTGAACTCCTAGAGGGATCCCCCAGCCTTAGCAACATTCCAAGTTTTACATGACTAAACAAACAGCATTAAGGAAACCAGAGCTGCAATTTGGTCACAGATTGATGATGATATCACTTTGCAACTGCCCTGGGATTGTAAATGTGAGCCCTGAACTGTAATCTTTGAAGTCTTACCCATGGAGAGGACCCTTTTCATAATTGGGACTCCAGATGTGCTGTGACCTGGGATTTCCCAGTGCTGAAAACTCTCAAGTTTGGATGTTGACCTCCATCCATGTCTGGATGTTGGTCAAAACCCAGTTTGGTGATGTATCATCTGCTCTTTCTATTTCTATTTTCTTTTAATATTAGCATGTTTAATGCTAATATGTTGAAAGTAAGCTAGATAATTCTCCAATAAACATCTATATTATTTATTTGTATATAACAAGTGACTTATTTTGTTAACAACTCCTTTGAACCTGAGACAAGTGAAAACTTTTGGTAAAACATAAATAAATTGTGAAAATCCAAAAATTCACACATATTTTTACTGATTTATAATTCAGACATTTCTGAATTTCCCTAGTCAATTCTTCTAGCTCATACTAATCACTACATAGCAAGGATTTTATGTGGGTAATTTTTGTCCTCAATACATAATTTTACATTTTTAATAAATAAATAATTTAAACCTAAATTTTTAGGGATAAAGATTTTTTAATGAATGATAGCTCTAAATATGGCCTCTGAACCTAGAGAACTATTTTCTTAGAATGAGTATCTTCTCTCTAACCCTATGCCTGTGCAACTATAATCACTTCCTGTCTGTGCTGGCAACTCCCTGCCCTGGTCCCTACGGCAGGTGGAGCAGGGCTCTGGATTTTGGTGCAGGTCCCTCCTCCACACGCCTCACTGTGGGCTCTCTCAGCGCACAGAAATACACTGTAGAGTCCTCCAGCTGTGAAGCTGGGATGACAAGTGTGATAGATTTTCTTGCTTTCTGGAAATTCAATGAGTAGCGACCTTCTGTGGCATTTTGCTGGTTATGAGAATCCTGACGAACAAGGAGAATCATCCCCCCACTGCTGGGCTGCTTGTACCAGAATAAACTATATTGTGAATTACTGGTGTCATACTTGCAGTCCAGGGTCACAGCTTCCTTCTCTTGCACTAGTACTTGTGGTTGGTCTTGAGTTACCTTCTGGGCAATAATGGATCCTAAAGAAAAAAAAATAGAATCAGAATTTCAGGAATAAGTGGTGTGGAATAAAGAAATCCTATTTTAGACCCTACTACCCCTTCTTCCCAGGGTTCCCATAAGACTACCTATTCCCCCAGTCCTTAGGTCACAGAGGAGGCACAGTTCCATTGGGACCATCTTTACCTAAACAAAGTGAAGCCACGACCACTTTCAGAAGGCTGGAGAGAAGCATGTTTCAGCTCTCCACTAGATGGAAAATATCTTCCTCTTCAATGTCAAGGCTTTGCAAGGTGAGCCTGACAGGGTGAGGGAAGGATTGCTGGGTATGTGCTGCTGCTGCCCCACAACAGGAAACAGGGGTTTCCTGGAGTAGCAAGTTGATGTGGCTCATGTCAACTTCTCTATGACCAGGTGAGTGTCTCACTCACCCCAAACTTTATTTTGCATTAACCAGCTCTTCAGTTCAGTTCAGTTCAGTTCAGTCGCTCAGTTGTGTCTGATTCTTTGTGACCCCATGAACCGCAGCACGCCAGGCTTCCCTGTCCATCACCAACTCCCAGAGTCCACCCAAACCCATTTTCAGTTGATACCAATTACATCTGAAAATAAACACAAGTCAAGTTTGATATTGAAAGGAAGAGTGATAATTTGACTAACTACTGTGTTCAGCTGTTGCATCTATGATGGAACTTGTTTCAAGATACTGCGTGTAATGGATTATGGAAACAACATAAGATGTAGTGATCATTTATCCTCATACCTACATATGCTTTCTTTCACTTAAGATAGAAATAAATTGCTTTATGAAAAGAAGACAAATCTGTTTGTGTTAATTACTGCAGCTTTCTCAACCTACATATCAATATAGCAATCACTATAATTCTTCACCACAACATCTGCTCAGTTACCTAACTTGGGACCTAATAGTAGGAGAAAAGATAATCTCCCTTTACAGAAGGCTAGAATGAATCTCGAAGACATGGAGTCCTGTCACAGTGGTCCCTTTCTCCTCTCTATATGTTTTGACAGCCCAGGTCTGTTCAGAGAGGGCAAATGGATGCTAGATATTGGTCATCAGGTTATCAAACCTTTGAATTTACATTGTTCCCATTAAGTCAGTTGGAACCCTCTCAGTCAGGTCTGACTCTCTGCGGCCCCAGGCCTGCCAGGCTCCTCTGTCCATGGCATTCTCCAGGCAAGAATACTGGAGTGGGTAGCCATTCCCTCCTCCATTGGATCTTTCCAGTCCCAGGATTGAACCCAGGTCTCCTGCATTGTAGGCGGATTCTTGACCATCTGAGCCACCAGGGAAGCCCAAAAGAGCCTCAAAGAGACTCTGTATTCTGTGCACCTAGTTCTAAGGGAATATATCAGAAGAGACCTCCATAAGACTATTGATCATAAAATCACTATTGATTATAATATTTGTGTAGGAATGTAAAAGGAAAGCCATGCCTAAGGATATTACTAATCAACATGTTGTCAGCTACAATGGCACTTACCAAGAGTATTTGCCAGCAACTGAACAACAGCGAGGGCATTTGTCTTCTACCTCTACAGAGATTGAACCCTGTGCTGCTGCAGCTGCTGACCTTCAAAACCCTCTGAGGGTAATGCAGGGTGGACAGTGAGGCACTCTGTGCTCCAGGGAAACTGGTGAAACAGGTCTTTACATAGTTAGAGATTTTCAGGAACTGATTTCATGATCCCAATCCTTGCATCTCTTCATATCTAGAAAAGCACTAAATCCCTTCATGGTGACATCAGCTCCTTGGGACTAGCAGAAAATTTTTTGTAAAGTAAGCACTTGATTGTGTTGAATTCCCCCTTCACCAAAATCATATATGTTGACGTTCCCCCACCACCTCTTTGGAGCAGTCTCTCCGAGCTATCTGAGCGTCAGTCTCCCCGGCTGCAGTCCTCATTTTGCTCCAAGTAAAACTTAGCTCACAACTCTCACATTGCGCATCTTTTTAGTCAACATTGGCAAACAGCAGAGAGCTGTTACCTACAGGGGCCTTCCCCTTAAAGTTGAACAGAACTTACCTTCTTATCTCAAAGTAATTACAGCCTCAGCTAAACTGGTTGAAGTTTTTTCAGATCCTGCCCTGGAATCTCCATTAAATCTGATGGTACCACACATAGCACAAATTGTTCTCCAACCTAAAACACCCAACCTTTTTCTACCAATCAGTTGACTTATATAAAATATTAATTTCCCCTCAGGTTATTCAACTTTGTTACCCTTCTCAGTAAAAAGTTCTTCTGATAGTACCTGTGCTGTTCAAAATGCCTTCATGTTCAGAACAGATTTTTTTTTAACACTCTCATACCAAATGTGAATTAATGTATTTTAAAATAATCTTATCTTAAATACTGAAAAGAAACAATACCAGACTGCCTATGCAATAACTATTCTAAACTCCTTTTAAAACCAATCACTAGCAAAAACAAAATTAACTCAGTAGCTGAACTTGTAGATCTATCTTGGATACATTAAATTGCAAAAAGTATATATTCAGTGGAAGTTTTAGGTTTTTAACACAGTTCACATATCATGTATGCCTGTTAAAGTGAAAGTGAAAGTCACTCATCATGTCTGACTCTTTGTGACCCCATGGACTATACAGCCCATGGAATTCTCCAGGCCACAATACTGGAGTGGGTAGCCTTTCCCTTCTCCAGGGGATCTTCTCAACCCAGGGATTGAACCCAGCTCTCTCACACTGCAGGCAGATTACCAGCTGAGCCACAAGCAAAGCCCAAGAATACTGGAGTGGGTAGCTTACTCCGTCTCCAGCAGATCTTCCCAACCCAGGAATTGAACCAGGGTCTCCTGCATTGCAGGATTCACCTTTTCTTATTTCTTTAACAAACATCTACTAATAATAAACTATATGAATGGGGAATGCTCAATTCAATATGTAATAGTAAGTGAAAAACATTATAAGCCTATTGTAACAATTTATTGAAAAGGTAAGCTGAATATTCACAATATTATGTGATTGCAGAATTATCAATATCATATTTATTGTATATCACACATTTCCCTATAATTAGCATGCAATATATAATCAGAAAAATAATAAATGCTGTTTTCAAAACACAGTATTAAAAAAAAATTCATAATAGGGATTATCAATTGATAACCAAGAGGTTATTTATAGAAAAGGAGTCTGAGTGGCAAATGTAAAGGCAATCTTACAATTTCAAAACAAAACAATGCTAACTCCCTTCAAGAAATCAGTAAGCAGCAATTATCCACAAAATGTGTCATACTTTCTGGGTCATCTTGAACCTAACATTCTTATTTTATGCTTGTCTAACACATCAGTTTCCACTTGCAGACAAACAATATGACAGATGCTACTTTGAAGGTTGCACCAGAGGAAGGGGGCTGCCCGTCACAAGTATGAGTACAGGTAGCGGGTGCCTGGGAAGCGCTGTGTCCTTGCTGCACAGAAGTAGACAGCTGAGTCTCCGGGTTGGATGGTTGCAATGTGCAGGGAGAGACGTTTGGCGGTCCTATTCAATAAAACAGTCAGTCTCTGGTCTTTTTTCTCACCCATATTTGAACGAATAGCTACAAGGAGCTGGGGGCCTTTTCCAGGTTCTTGCTTATACCAAGGGAAATACTCTGAAGCTGTGTTTGTGTAAGTGCAGGTGATAACAGCGGTGTTTCCCTCCTGGACACTCAGAGTAGAAGGACTCTGCTCCACCTCGTTTCCAAGACTGACACCTATCGAGAAAGTAGAAGTCAGAGAAAGAAGAAGGTTGTCAGTTTACTAAGTTCCACAGTTTATTTTCCCTTTTCTACAATAGCTAGAAGAAACCTGAATAAAGTCAGTCTCAGTGTCTAACAAATATCTACTAATACACTCTGTTTACCTTTTTTTAAAAAAATTAATTAATTTATTTTACTGTTTCCCTTAAACCCTCAACTCACAGTCCAGCTCTAGCCATAAGAACGTGATTAAAGCTCCAATGGGTGTCTTCATTGTTTTTCCCATTTAGGATTAATTGTGGACCTGCAGTCTCCAGCCAGGAGACCTGCTTCTGTTACCAAGTGTCCCCTTCTTTTCTCTAGTGGTTTCTTTCATTGTCTAGTCAGCCAATAAGAAAAAGGCTCTGCTTCTCCCCTAAGCCTATTCATTCAGAATCCACTCAAAGGAACCCTCCACATGTTCTGATCAGCAGAACGCACCACCATCTGGTGGCCACATCTCTAACGACTGAACTCTGGTTAAATGTCCTTTGCATGGCTGTGCCTATGAGGGACATGCATAAAAGCAGCAAAGGTCAAACAAATTATGTCTCAGATTGAAGTAATCTAATGCAGTGTAAGAATGTATAGATAGAGAATTTGACTGTTTATAAGCTGAAAAGAGGTAGATGCTGTTGCTCTTTATTCAATGATGGGCCTGATATATAGGTTTTAAATTATAAAAGCAACATGATTCACTCTCCTAAACAAACAAAAAAACCTATATATATATATCAAACTATCAAGTTCAGCCAATATACCATTTTCATTTGCCTGTTTTGGAGGAAAACTCTGTACAAGAAACTTGTAAGCCAAAGATCAGAGTAGCAGAGAGAAGATCATTTGACATTTCAACTGCCTGTTATCTCAGACTGTCTCCTCTAAGCTGGTTTTCAGTAGGCCCTTGCTTTCTCAGAGAATTGACAGTAAAAACAGTTGAAATGTATCCTAAAATGTAATTACTAAGTGTCAGAGATCTAAGTGCTGCAGCTTGCATTAGACAGCTTTCCTTTGCTCAGCAACAAGGGTCTGGAAGAAGGAGATAGGAAAAGGACATTAAGGGGGAGGTGAGGATATCCAGCTTATCCTCTACTTTCTACTGCTAGCATTTGATCTATTTTTTAATTATATAATTTCTCATTCTGGCATCTTGGATCTAGTTTCTGTTTTGTAAAATGAGGTGAACTAAACCCTGTCTAAGGGCTCATTTAGCTCTAAATTCTTTTATACTATTTAGCAGAACAAATCTTTATTGAGACCTGCTTATATACAACGTAGAGTGATGAGAGGTGTGGGGAGAAACCCCTTGCACTCTGGAACCCCAACACCATTTTCGCATTTCATGCAGTCTTCAGGGGCTGTGGTTGCCACTAATTAACCCTAGGTCCTCTTCTGAAGTAGAGGCAGGGTCCTTGGAATGAATCCTTATCCATGATTTCATTTCTCCTATAAGATCAAGGAGAATAAACATCTACAGTAAAATGGCATAAAATGGGACGGGGCTCACTGAATGCAAGCGGCATCACAGACACTGAGGTCAAAGGGGCTTTGTGACTGAATTGGTAAGAAGATGTTCTTCTGGTTCATTCTGTAAGTCTTATTTCATCTTGTAGGAATAAAAGAAAAAACATCTGCACGACTGGAGGACCCAGGGGAAGTCGATGAGCTGCCAACAGGTAAAGCAAGAGGCTCTTTCTAAAGTAACCAAATTGCTTTCTGGCTTCTGTCTCTCCGTGCAAGTGTAGGTGGGGATCACCTATGTCATTTTTAGAACCAGTGCAAAATGAAAACTTGGAATCTTCTTTGCAAGAAACAGGGTAAAGTCTCATTAGGTAATGTTTCTAGTGGCTTCCCTGCTGGCTCAAATGGTAAAGAACTTGCCTGCAATGCGGAGACCTGAGTTCGATCCCTGGGTCCGATCCCTGGGTCAGAAAGATCCCTTGGAGTAGGAAATGGCAACCCACTCCAGTATTCTTGCCCAGAGAATTCCGTGGAATGAGGAGCCTGGCAGACTATAGTCCACCGGGTCGCATAGAGTAGGACAGGACAGAGCAACTAACACTTTCACTTTCAATGTTTCTAGTGGCACCATTTTTCTAAAAAGCTTTAACTCTTCATACAAATTAGCTTCATGTATCTGAATCTAATTTTTTGAGACTTTCAATCATCTTAGGTTCACAGAAAAATTAAAGAGAAGATGCAGAGGTTTCCAACATACCTCCCCCTCCCACACTTGCATAACCTCTCTTCTTATCAACTTCCACATGAGGCTGATCTATTTCTCACAACTGATGAGCCCATATTAACACATTATAATCGCTCAAAGTCTATAGTTTACTAGGATTCACTCTTCATGTTGTACATTCTATGGGTTTACACAAATGTACAGTGGCACGTGTTCATCATCATAGTATCACAGAGGGTAGTTTCACTCCTAAATAGCCTTTGTGCTCTGCCCATTCATCCTTCCACTCCCCTCAATCCTTGCAATTACTGGTTTTCACTCTTTATAATTTTGCCTTTCCCAGAATGTCACATAGTTGGAATCAAACAGTAGGCGGCCTTTGAGATTGACTTTTTTCACTTAGTATTATGCATTTAAGTTTCCTCTGTATTTTTATGGCTTGACAGCCCATTTCTTTTTAACACTGAATAATATTCCATTGTTTGGAGGTACCACAATTTACTTATCCATCCACTTGCTGAAGGACATCTTGGTTAGTCCCAAATGTCGGTATCTATGGATGAGCCGCTGTAGACCTCGTGCCTTTCTCTCAGCTTGTGGCGGCTGCCCTCAGTGTTTGGTGCTCCTTGGCTTTCAGACACAGCGCTCCAGTCTCTGCTTTGTCTTCACACAAAAAATCATTCTTCTTATATTTGTTATTACCAGGACTCAAAACTCTGAATAAAAATTTTAAAAACATTACACACATTTAATTCCCTTTTCACTTTGAAGGAACACTCATGTGCAGTTAACCAAAAAATTGAGTCATCTCTTTCTGTTTGTTGATCACCATATATTTTTGCAAGCATTTTCCATCAGAGAAATTTATATGTAGCTTATATTTTATCTGTCAGGAGCACTAGATTGTTTTAACAGGACACTGGATATTGGAATCTGCATCAGTTATGACAATGGCTCCATATTAGAGCTTTATATCCACGAGAGATTTCTGGGATGAAGAAGGGTGAAAAAAAAAAAAAGTGAAATGACAGTCCTAAAGGATCTGATCTTCGGAAGAAAAAAGTGCTGAACTATGAATCTGGAATCCCAAAGAGGTAACAAGGTACTTGCATGGTGCAGCACTGTGGAGGGGCGGGGCTGAGGCAGCTGCAGTTTGGGCACAGGCTGCAGATCACCAGGGAGCACTGTGCCTCCACCGCACAGAGGTAGGTGGCTGCGTCTTCCAGCTGGGAGGCTGCGATGTGTAGGGTACTATAGCGTTCCTTAGAATTAACTGTGGAACTCAGCCTTTCTTTCTGCTTTGTCCCTGACGCTATGAAAAACAGCATGGTGAGGCTGCCTCCAGGATTCTGCTGGAACCACTGCACATTGTTCACTGTGTCAGAAAAATTGCACCTCAGGGTAGAGTTGGCTCCTTCCTGGAGCTTCAAGACTGAAGGACTCTGCTCCACCTTCACTCCTCTCACCCCTGCTTGGAAAGAGAAAAACAAACACATATGATGTCACTGAGGGGTCGCGGATGGGGTTTCCAGACCAGGAAACTCTCTCAGGAAGCACTTGAGGATGAAGGACCATCTAGGAGCCCCAGGTCAGCTCTCCCCCCTCCCGCCCACTGACAGCTACGGACACTCCCCAGCCCCCTCTCTGGGATAACCCCGACTCACAGCAAATCTGGACCCACAGAAGCCCCAGCAGGGCTCCCCATTGTCTCTTCATGATCCCTTGCCCAGGTACTGAGGTGCCTTCACCCCTACTCTGAAGGATATAGAGTCCTGGGGCCAGAGAAATGTTCTTCTTACTGTCAGTATGTTCCACCGGAATCACTGAGTACCATTCACATCTGAGGTGTGTCAGCTCACTTAACAGGAAACTCCACCCACAGCGGCCTAGTGAGACTGCAGTAAGGTCAGCAATTTCTCCAAACTTGAGGTTTGGGGGGACAATGCAGAGAGGTAAAAGCAATATTTCCGATATGTGTAGTTGTAAATTTTTTTTTTCTTAAAGGACTATATGTAAGAGAAGATTGTGGGATAGTGTGTGAGGAAAGGTAGATGATATTTCTAGAAGAATTGTGTCATGATGGATTGCATAGAACCTTGAGGAATTACAGGGGCGGATGACCCATTTTTCAAACTGCATAGTTTGGCAGAGATTTTGATAATTCGGTTATGTGAAAATTCTGATCAAGGAAAACTATGTGATACATGCACTGTTTATTGCAGAAGTAAATTCAATGTCTTGAAATCATTTAGAAACCAAGATATATAGTCAGCCTCTGCACAGATATGATTCCAATAAGAATTTGGTTGTTGAAAAACAGGACATGTGTATAATGTTCACTCTGCCTTGATTTCCACCTCTCCCTTCCTACTGTCCAACTCTTGGACACCCTCTTGACCCACAGCTGATTCTGATCTAGCTGCACTTTTTTGCTCAAATTCAATATTGTCTTTCTCCTTTCCTTCTATTTTTGTTCCTTATTTTTTCTTGTTCTTTCTACTCTCAAGGAAATATATGAAAAGGTAGGAGGTCTGGGGTATTGGAATCATTTCTGGGTCAATGGGTTCGGGGAATTCAGTCATAACAATTTTAAAAATGAATACAGGTAATGCAGATGTTTTCTGTTGAGCTTCCATGCTCCCAGAGCTCAGTAGTAGCCCTATGTCTCTACCTCTGCTCAGAGAATCATCCTCACCACGGATATACAGAGGTAAGGGCTAGAGCTTTCCAAACCTTATATAGAGTGACAAAGCTGAACTCTGAGATGAACTTTACACAAACACTGTTCCCCTCTCCCCACCTTTGCTGTCTATAATTTGACTGTTCCCCATGCTCTCTGGGCTCCTCTCTTAACTGTTCCATCTTTGGAATCATGAGAAAAGGTCTTCATGTCTTTAAAGCTTACAGTGCCCCCCAGTGGGCTGAAACCATCAATAAAGACCCCTTCAGCCCAACAACTGCAGCATCACAAAACCCCAGTCACATTCACTGCATGCTTCCTGATGAAGAAAGTAGTTAGAAAAAAAAGTCACTGCCTAGATTGAATGGAG